CATGATAGCATTATGACCAGCGCCTTTCAGGCATCGCTGGAGGGCGGCCTGGCCTCAATCACCAGTGGCCAGCCTCTGGCTGTGGTCCACGGTTCGCAGATAACGCTGCGGCACACCCACGGACGCACCTGTTGGCTGCACTCCCATGCGGCAGTCTACCCGGTGAGGTACAAGGACAAACGAGGCTCCTCGCACCAGCAGCAGGTCACTTGCTACTCCTTCAAGGACGTGAACAACTGGTGGATCGTGAAGCGACCGCAGCGGGATGACCTCGTGGTGGGTGATCAGCCAGACGTTATACAACACGGCGATGTCATCCAGCTGGTGCATGGAATCACCAGCCGCGCATTGAACTCGCACGACGTGGCTGCTCCAATGACGCCACAGTGCCAGGAGGTAAGCTGCTACATTGACTACGAGATCAAGATGGCCGGCGAGCTGCTGTGGCGCGTGGAGATACTCAATCGGCACTCCGAGGGTGACAGCTGGCATGCCATCAAATCGGAGATTCGTCTCGTACACGAATCCACGGGCGCTGCGTTAAAGTTCAGCGGCCGACAGCTGCCAGACTGGGGCTTCAATCAGCACGAGGTGGTGGCCGATCGGGATCAGGTGCACGAGGATTCCATTTGGAATGTGGAGGAGCATCGCTACACGAAGAGTGAGTGCAGGATTTTGTGATTAATGAACTGTGTTTTGAACCCCTTTTGTTTGCTCCTTCAGCTCAGGATCAGCGTGAACGAGAGCGACAGCTGCTCTCCGCCGAAATGATACCCACGAGGCGCACCAAGCTCTCGTTCTGGGCCAAACTTTGGGAGCTGCAAACGAAGATGTTCTGGCACGGCAAGCATGTGCAGGCGCACATGTACAGCTCGCTGCCGCACGAGTGGCCGCTGATGGACAAGGGCATTGCCTACTGGCTGGACGCGCAATCCAGCGCACAGATTTATCTCCTCGGCAACGTGCTCATTTGGTACACGGCCAGCGGCGGGATACTGGTCTATGCCGCCCTACTGGCCTTCTATGCGGTGCGTCGCAGGCGTCTCTGCTTTGATGTCTCGCAGTACGAGTGGCAGCGTTTTCTCACGGCTGGCGACACCTTCTTTGTGGGTTATCTCATGCACTACTTGCCTTACTTCTTTGTGGATCACACGCTCTTTCTGCACAACTATCTGCCGGCGTTTGTGTTCAAGCTGCTGCTGCTGTGCTTTGTCGTGGAGCATGTGGACTATCTGTTGCGGCGACACTGCACGGGTCGCGCGGTGCATCTCGTGCGCATCTATCGTTTGGCGCTGCTGCTCTGGCTGCTTGCCGTTTGCAGTGTCTTTGCCACATTCTTGCCGCTCAGCTACGGAGCGAGAAAGATGACCATAGAGGAGGTTCGGCGTCTGCGCTGGAAGGACACCTGGGACTTTATACTGCAAAAGAACTATGCGCTGAACTGACACGTGAAACAGAGACTGCAGTTGCAATAGGGAGAGGGAGAGCCCCCAACCCCCGGTTCCATGTACCATAAGAGACTTAAGGACGTAGCTAAAAGTTTAATTAGTGCTAAGTTAACTTCCAATTAAAAGCAATATTTATTTATTTAAAACCCAGATCAAAGTGTGCTCAATGTCAAATTGGAAGAATTAGTTTCAGAAATTTGAAGTTTTCGCAGGGAAACACACACACAGGCCAGACTATGGCAAACATTGGACACTTTGTAGACAGGAATGCGGATGTGCGTGCCGCAGGACTCGCCTCGTTTAGGGCTCCAGAACACATCGAAGACTGCTTTGTCTTCCGCCACCCAGAGGAGCAGGCCGAAGCGCTTATACGCGCGGAATGCCAGCGACTGCTGGTCAAGCCCAGTGGCCCACGTACCCCAAGTATACCCAGCACTAGCGTGGGAGATCTGCTCAGCACGGAGCTCCAGAAGTCACGCTTTATGGCCTTCAAGGAAAAGTTCTCCGAGGACATGTACTTTAAGAAAGCCAAACTAGGGAAGATAGCGCCCGCGCACTCCAAGCCGGACACGGTGACGAATGAGAGTCGCAGCTTTGGGCGCCCTTCCAGCAAGCCAGAGCCGCTGTACGAGATTGTAATGCCAGCAAAGCCAGCGGAGCAGGTGAATCGAGAGTTTGGGGAATTCCACGAGCAGCACATCATCAGCCACAATCATTACTGGCCCTCGGAGAAGATCAATCGCAAGTGGGTAACGATCTACACTCACCGAGAATAATCTCTAAATATTTCTGTTTTTTTCTAGATACGAAAAACCCTTTGATCCGCAGCACACCTTTGGCCAAAGGACCACCTTCGATGGCATTGGTTTTATGGTGCAACGTTGCTTGAAGCAAAACCAAGGCGACGATCATCATGTGGTGATTGTGCGCAAGCCACAAATGGACTTTATAGATCGCACCTACGGCCCATTGGGTTTGAAGTACAAAAAGTGAGCATCAGGTCGCTCTCGGAACTCCAAAACTAAACATAAATCCCCCTCTCCTTAGATACCCCTATGACGTGCCCGATATGATGCATGGCCTGCGGCGACAAACGCCCAAATGTGATGTCAAAATGCTGCTGGAGAACACCACGCCACACACGAGCAACGACAAGTTGGTGAATGCCTTCAGCCACCTCAACATCTTGCGGCAGGCGCTGCAGCGCCGGCCCAACTTTCACATGTTTGATTTGCTCTCATTGCTGGAGAAGAAGGACAAGGAGCGCACGGGCTATCTGCCGCTGGAGCAGATCATTGACATTATGCACAAGCTGCATATACGCGTGGACTCGCAGCAGCTACGCGTAGCCTTGGGGCACTTGCAACTGCTGCGCGACGAGGGCTGTGCCACGGAGCGGATTAGCTATGAGGAATTTTGTCGCCTCATCTCCATCCAGGTGCCATTGCCAGCAACGGGCAATGTTTCAGCGTTGCCCGAGAATAGCTACAATCAGGAGACGACCTATCGCCTGCTCTGTGCGGATCTGAAGAAGACGCCCAACACGGATCGCGTCGCACGCAAACACAACCTGACGCCCGAGCAGCAGGACGCCGTGAATACGCGTGTCCAGGAGCTCATATATCCCGATTTTTCCATGAAGTCGGGCCTGGGGCCCAGCGATTTTAAGCGTCTGCGAAGCAAGGAGCAGCTGGAGACGATATTCAAGGATATTGTGTCCAAGGAGGAGTTTGGACGCATTTGGGCGCAGCTGTTGGTCGATTATGCGGAGCAGCAGCAGATGTTCTCGGTTGTGCAGTTCAACACGCGAATTGTGATAGATGAGGAATCAGAAGATTAGATTCGAAATTAAATGCTGAATGAATATAATTATTAACGAGGTTTTAGTCAGGGCTTACACCTTTGCTTCTCTTTATTTATTAGCAGAAACTGTTCCCTTGGGCAAGCTTCCCAACAGCAACACAGCTGTTCTGAGAGCATTGAGAACCATTGCCTCTCCTTGTCTGCAGCTTGTAGCTTTGTAGCCTAAAGCTCTCTCTCAATTCACCTGTCTCCCTCTCTCTCTCTACCCAAGCAGCTTGCTGGTCTCTAACTACCGTTTCCTTTTTGATCTTCCTACGCTCGCTCTCTCAAACACTAGCACCAACACAGCTATGAGACAAAAGTGGACAATAACAAACGGTAAAGTGCAAAGAAGACAGCGCAAGTAATTTCGTAGTGAATAAACAAGAATAAACTGAAGCAATATTAGGATCGAGTCTCACTTTTATTTATCTAAATTCCAGATTCCTTTTTGCGTCCGAAAACTTTCCATGATCATTCCGATAAATCCAAATCGGCATTGAGCGGTAAGCGCGGGCTACAGCAATGGCAATGTGTAGCTCTATAGTAGGGTCCGCTATGCCGCTTAGAGGTTAATCCCACCGTACTAAAAGCCTCCAAGCTATTGCCCCGCACCTCATCCTTGGTCTTGGCCCATTCTTCGGCTATTTGATAAAGATATTCGTACTTTTGCTGTATGGTCAGAAGATTGCTCTTGCCGGGTCCCTCGTAGAATTGACTTGGCGTAAAGCTACTGAAGTCAATCAAAGCCAAAAGCTGGGCTACATATGCGCCCGTTATCTCCTGATCCACCAATGGGCACCCCGATTCGCTGCTCGCGTCGGAGCAGACAGCGTTGGAGGCAGCGATCCCCAAACCATTGTGCTTGAGATAAGTTTCAATGAGAATAAAACGATCCGACTCCAGCAGCTTGATGGCGATGGTTTTGATGTAATTCTTGAAAACTTCCGTATTGAAATCGAGCACCACGGACTGGTTGAAGGGTTCGCGCAGGAAGAGCTCCACTTTCGAGACCACGCGCTCCGTTATCGATTTATTGTTGAGTGTGTGGGCACACTGGAAGAGCAGCATTAGGTCGCCCATGCCCAAATGGCCCCTGCGATTTGTCATCTCGTTCACACAATCCTCCTTGATGGACTCCACCATAAACTTGTTGCCAAAGTCGCACAATTTGATGAGCGTGTCGGTGCCGTAGAGCTCCAGTTTCTTCGACTCGTAGCCGTACACATAGTCCCGAAACTTTTCAAATATATCCGGCTCCACGTCCTTCAGTGTGACCTCCCCCGTGCTGGACTCCTTAAAGTCCCCATAGAGCATACGATCGAAGACCTCCGAGGCGCAGCAAAAGATCAATTTGTGGCAGAGAAACACGCGGCACTCGGTGGGTGATTGGATAATGAAGCTGCAGTCTGTGTGGCGATTGGACAGGCCCAAAGCCTCGAGGGAGCGCCGCAACCTGCAGGGAGGGGCAATGCCGAACCTGACATTAATTCAGCTCAGTATTAGGCCCCAATGATGTCTGTCTTAAACCTCACTCACCACGAATTCATCTTCTCCATTATGCTAATTATTTTGTTTACTTCAAATTTGTTTTTTACTATTGCTTGGCCATGTGGCGACTGCTGCTGTTTGGTTTTTCTGTGGAATATTGAAAGGCTGAAGGGAAAATGAAAGCATTTATGATTGAGAAAAGTATAAGCTACTGGTTTGACAGTGTGGAAAGCGAATCCTGTCACGGAGAAGGCCTGGGCACATCCACGTGCAAAATTGCCAGGCGGCCCAAGTCAACCAGCGAAGGCGCGGCTCAAAGAGAGAGCCACAGAAGAGAGTCGCAGCTCAAAGAGAGAGCAGAGAAGGTGCCGCCGCTCGATCACAGGTGTCGCCACCTTGTCAGGGAAATGAGCAACAATCGCCTCAGCAATCTCTGCAAAAGTAATCAAAATTTCAATCCCACATTCTTCGTCCTGCCACCATGCAGTCGTCGTGGGGTCTACACTTTCTAGCGCTGCTGTGCATCATCTGTCTGTATGCCAGATTGGCGCACAGCCTGCACAATCCGCTGATGCGCGAAAGTAAGCTCTGGGACTGCAGCTCCTAGATTTCTATAGCCTGAACCTCTTCTATTTAAAGCTTGCGGATTGGGAGAGGAGCTCGTCTGCGATGTGCAGTTCATCATTTGCTGGGAGTACAAGTGCAAGTGCATTGAGAATCACGATTATCTCGGGCCAGGACTGGGCTGCCTGTTCGAGGAATTTTCATAGCCTTCAGCCTAAAGTCTGCTCCTCCTGCAGGCTGCAGGCTGCAGCTGTGGGTTGATTGAATATCGATGAATTAATAAACAAACGATCGACTGTTTACATGCTAAACACAGACTAATTTATTTACACACGCGCAGGCGGCAGATCCGGCCCGTTCCGGCAACTATTTAGAATTGTCCATAAAGTCCTTGGCCTCATTGATCTTGGCCGCCAGATACGGTGAGCCGCCACGATCCGGATGATTTAGCAGCATTATCTTTTTATGCGCATCCTTAATCTGCAAGTGGCAAGTGCATATATGAGAGAGATTCCTTGCCACAGCACGTGCGAGCCAGCCTTACCTTCAGCTTGGAGGCACTCGGATTGACGCCCAGTATGAGCGCCGCCTCGCGCTTGTTCATCTTGGGATCAAAGCCGCCCTTGTAGTACTTCGAAGCAGCCATGCTCTCCGCATCAAACTTGGGTAAGTTCTTCAGTGCCTCATTGAATGCGGTGGTCATTTGGGGCATGCGCCGCAGCATGTGCTTGCCCGCAAAGCCCACTGCAGCCACACCGAGTCCCGCCAGAATGATGGAGCTCGCCTTGACATCAGATTTGTGGGTAGTCATGGTGCGGACGAAAAGTTGTATGTTATTAATTGTTTTATTCGATTAAAATGATTTAATTTTTACCATTTTTATGTAATTTGAACAGCTGTGAGTATTAGTGTGACCGCATGTGCCGCAGAGTGGGCAGTCGATAGGAAAAGTGCATGTTTTGGCTGCGTTTGCACAAGGAAGTATCTGCAGAAGCTATTTAAGTACATGGTCAACTTTTGTTACAGCAAGTGGTGAATTTATAAACAAATACGGCAAAAATTGACAAACCGCGCGCTCATCGCACAAAGAAATTGCTGGTTGGTATCTACTGAATGTATGGTTTGCTTTTAGTATTTAACACAAGGGCTGCAGGTCAACCGTTGCGGAACAGTTGAGCCACCCGAACGCCTAACTCCCTGCAACTCCTACTTCGATTGCATTTAGAAAGTGTTTATTAATTGTTTTGCAAAAGCGTCACCTGGTTGGTGGCCAGGTAAACTGCGCAGCGTGTATCGAATACCTGCGCGAATAGGCGAACGCGGCTATCGATTGCTATCGTGCACCCCCCTCCCACCGTGACAGCTATCCGCTATCGGGCTCAACAAAGTGCACAAACAAGACGAAACGAAGAAGAAGCGAGAAAATTTCTGATGTGCAAAGTTTCAAAAAACGGAATCGTATATTGATTTACAAAAGGAAAAGTGTCAATTGGTCCGATCGGGCGATAGATATATAATCTGTTGGCGGTGGTGTGCGTGTCCGGTGTGTTCGCGTGCGTGTGTGTGTGAGGAGTGTGCGTGTGCGTCCAGCTGGGAAAACGACATAATTTGTGGCAAAGTCAGGAGCAGCAGCAGCAACCGTCAAGCTGGAGCGAATTCCGGAATATCTGCGCGACACGGTCGACTGGTTGATGGGGTGAGTAGTAGTAGTCACATTTGATAGCAGGGTGGGTGAATCGTCTCCCCTATACCTCCCTCCCACCTGCGTGCACCACCTGCCGATCCACCACCATCCGGATCGTTGCAGTGCCAGTGGGTGAGCTGCATCCACAGTCGGACGGGTTGGTGGAGAGGTTTGGTGCGCTACGGTTACGACGATGTCGCTACCATTCGCCGTCTCTTATGTCCTCTGCTCGCGTCGCGTCGCCTCACCAGTTGGCCCCTCGCCAATTGGCCTCGTTTCGCGTCTCTGCCGTCACATGAAATTTCTTTTTTCGTCGCTGCCTTTTGTGGCCGCTGGGCTGACTGCCTTTCGTTTCGGCCCAGGCAGGGTGCTGCCTCTGCCTTTGTCTCCAACTCCTGCAGGAGCTGCAGTTGTGTTTTTGTGCCAACAAAAGAAAAAAAAATCAATGTACAAGCATTATCGATTTCTCAACTGTGACCGAGTAATGTAATCGTTGTACACCTTGTGCCTATGCGTACCATGTGTATTTGTGTGTGTGTGTGTGTGATCAGTCTGCTCCTCTGTCTGCTCCACACACATACACATGAACAACCGCAAGCACAAGCACATCCGTGTCCGTGTCCGTGTCCGTGTCCGAGTCCCAGGCGCAAGGCCATCGCTGCGCTTTGATTGCGTTTATTTGTGTGTTCGTCTTCATCTTCTGCTTCGCTCAGCAAATACCCGCTATGCCATAAAGAACGGGGGTGTATTCGCACATGCGTGATTTATGTAACAGAAACAAAATAAAGGGCTCTAAAAATAATTATATGTAGGTAAAAATAATACAAAATAATAAAATCATAATAATAATTAATAGTTGCTTGTCTCGCCTCTGATTTACGTTTATTTCGACTGGATATTTGTTAGTTCCTCGCACCTACAGGGTATCTTTTAGTCGACCCCCTTGGATTTTTGTTCTTGTTACTTGTTGTTTATGCTTCTACGCAGAGAAAAACGAAATCAGAGTGGAGAGCAGAACGTTGCAGACGGAGCCTATAGATAAGGGCCAGGTTTAATGAACTAACTAATTTCATTGCCATACTCGGAAACGGTTCACATAAGCGTGCAAAATATATGCACGAATAATCGGTTGACAGAAGAAGTATATAAGAAATCCAAGCCGTTTGATATAGAAACAGAAAGTACATTTGTAATCGATTGGCGTATAAAAGCTGTCCAAGCTCCACCCATTTACTTGGTCTGTTTGTGCATTGTGGAAACATAGCAGTCCATCTAGTGTTAGTCAGAAGCTGTTCAAAAGAAGAGACACATGGAAAAGCTCTCCGAACAACAGACGCCCTTAAAAGAGATTCCCCATCAATTACCTGACATTAAAGGAAGCTTCCCATGTTTGCCCATAGAATTATGTCACAAATTCTTAAACCTTAAGTCATTTTGGTAACATTTCCCTGCCCTGCGGTCATTTGATTCACATTCAAAGCTAACTCTACAGCTCCCTGGCAACATTAGTAACCGGAATGTCTGATAGAACACAATTAAAGAGAACAGACACTCTACGAAAGGGTTGCCATGGGAACAGAATTCGATCCCCTGTACCTGCGGCATACAAAGAAGGAATTAGCTCGGCAAACTCCCAGCCCACTTTTGGTGGTAGCAACCACCCTTTAAGGGTAGATCTCCAGGTACACAAGGAAACTTATTCCAAGGAAACTCAAGGGCTAGTTTTGGGTTGGAAGATGGTTTCCAGCGAGCCAAACAAAGGCAATGTCTGGGCTAACAAATTGATTTAAATATAAAATAAATAGGATTTTAATGATATTTGGGGAAGTTTTAAGGGAAATTTCTATAAGACATAACTTTGGGATTAGTTGAGGGAATTAAATCAAGTTTAATCCCATTAAAGTTCCTCGAAGTAGCGTTCATCTGTATCTGAAATGTCTCTACGTATTCGGTAATTAGTGCAATTTGATGGATTTACACGGCTAAATACCCTTTAACCCGGATTACCAAAGGAAACAGCACCATGTTGGCTCATTTGGTGAGCCAGCAATGGGTGCCAAAACATCCAATTAAGCACAATTTAGTGATTAGACACAGACGGACAGAAAGTGAGCTTCGGTGTCGGAAAATGGCGGAAATCGAGTTGATTGGAAAAGCATTCAGGAGGATAGCGGCGACAAATTAAGTTCACACCAATCCACTGACAACTTGATAACGTGGGTTGTGTTCCTTCCGTTAGTTACATCTTTACATAGCAAATACATACGTATGTACATCTACATGGGGGCAGGGGAAACCTTTTGTGGATGCTCTGACAGCATCCAAATTGGCAAAGGAAACGGATGGGGCAGGGGAGCAGCTAAAGCAAACGATGTGTGCGAGAGGAGAGTAACAAAGAACAAACAAATTGTGTCACATGTCACACCCCACATACCAAAAAACAACAAAACTGGGATGGGGGGAAAAGCCACACATCCAGCAGAGGGTACAAATATCTACACGTTACACGATGGATGAGAGGTGGTTAGGATTGTACGAGTATGTCCGGAAGGAAGCGGTTTGAGTGGACGTCATCGCCCTCCAATGGAGCAGCACCAGCAGCCAGCAGCCAGCAGCCAGCAGCCAGCAGCAGGGTTTTTTCATTAGAGCACAGGAAAAACAATTAAAAATGTGGCAAAGAGTGTGGGTGAGAGCAGGAAAAGCCATCGATTTTTGTGCCGAGGAGAGCTCGAGATTTTGCCGGCTAGCAATTAAGAAAAATATGTGCCTAAAGAGCAGTTTTAATATTGATTTTGGTGGGAATTATAATTAATTTCTTAGTGGGAATTATTAAATATTAATTAGGTTTCCCTAAGGAATATTTTGATGCCTTTTTGAGCTCACAGAAATTAGTTTGCAAGGCGATAAATGATGGTTTAATCATTTTTATACTTGAACAAACTATTTTTTAGAGGTTTTGGACACCTTTTGAAGGAGCTTCTAAAGATGTGTTCAAATATTTTCGGACTTTTCTGGGTGCATTCCTTTCATAGCTTTGGCAAAGTCTACCCAAAGGGTATCAAAAGTTTGTCTTACATTTCTGTGTAGCAATATCTGCAGATATTCGCAATCACACCTACAGGTACATCATTAGCTACCCTCTGCAGTGGCCTGCCTGCCGGCATGTGCAGCGTCGTGGCAGCCTTGAGGCGCACTTAGCAGAACTCTAATTGAATTAGGCGGCAACGGGTGCAAGTGTAGGGGCAGTGGCTGAATGGGGCATAAATACAATAATGCGAGTGGCAGGGGGCAGCAACAGAAACAAAGTGACAGTTGGCCATTTTTTGTTGTGCTTCATTGATTGACAGACCCCGGCCTGGGGCCGAGTCGAGTCGCTGGCTAAGAACCCGCCGGGAGGAGGCGCAAATCACTAGACCAAATCAATTTTTGCAGAGCAAAAGGTCCAAAGGGGATTGTGTGTATATTTAGCTACGGACTGGTGCCATATGATGTGTGTGCCACATGCCCCGGGTCCGTGCACTCAGTTGCAGTCGAGCGCTGAGCGCGGCCAGTTCCCCAGTACCAGTTCCCAGTTCCCGCGGTCATGAACTGGGCCATCTCGAACCTAACGGGCGGCAACCGCGTCAGCCGTGCCATTCTCGTGCGCTACTCCTCGGTGCCGCTGGCAGATGCTGGCGATGGTTCCTCCACTGGGCCCCAAACTCCCACGGCCTCCACGCCGCGTGCATCCGCGTCGCACACCTCGCTGTCCTCCACGTTTGCCGCCACATTCCTGCACTCCTCGTCTCGCCATGTGCCCGGACGCGCTGTGCCGCGACACAATGCCAACGGCAACGGCGGCAAGGCGAATTCCAATGCTCCAGCAGGCGCTGCTGGCGCAGCTGGAGGAGCTGGTGGCGCTGGCCCTGCCACACAGCTGTCGCTGCCCATGGATGTCGAGGAGACGGTCACCTGTTTCTGTCGGTAAGATCAGACGTAAGAGGCGGTCGGATTTTTATTGAACAATTCCTGAAAAGGGGAAAGGGTTGGGGAAAAGGAAAAGTGGAAGTTCAATGAGGTTTTAATTCCGAACGTTATTGTCAAGGGGAAGCAAAATAATGAACCACAGAAATCCTTCTTACTCGAGAAAAGATCAACTCGAACCATCGAACGGTTTGCCATTCCGCTAAAAGCTTGAGTGATTCACAAAGAACAAAACAGATAAAAAAACAGTCATCATAACGGAAAAATGTAACAGATGTGTAATAAAATTAAATTTGTAAATATATCTGTTATTATTAAACAAATATTATGCCAATCGTGGAATGGTTAAGTGCCTAACAATC